CTTTGGATGTGTTGGCACAGCCGTCGTGCGGAGTTAAGGAACTACTAATGGCTTCGTTAATACCGGCCCGCCGATTCTCGCCGATGGAATAAGGCTTAAATTCGAACTCACACCGGGGATGTCCCTGCGGTATAATCTCGACCTTCTCTCCGTGGATCGAAGGTTAAGCCTCTCTTCCACTCTATCCCCAGAGCCAATCAAAAATTAGGTTACGTCTAACTACATGACATGCGCGCCGCACGAGCGCGCGAAGGTTGCACTATCCGTGTTAAAATATACAGAACGCGTCCCGGTAGAGTTGCGGAGTAAATGGAGTTTGAAAATTGCCCGATTTTTTTCTTGCCTGTTTTTGTTTTTTTTTTTTTTGTTTTTTTCTCAATTAATAAATTTTCCTTCACGCGCGCGCGCGCGCCTTTCGCGAAGCCCCCCAACAGACGATTTAATTTGTTCCTCAAGTTTCAAACGTCCGGTCTGATTAAACTTTTCATTTCGAATAGAGGAGAGAGGGATGGCAGAAATTTAATTTCAAATTTAGTTTCCAAATAGCGACGGGTATGTAATATTCACAGTAAAAAGAGTTTCACGATCAGATGACCGATCAACGGGCGAATGTTTTTTTTTTTTTTTGCGAAAGGAAACATCAAAGTCCGGAAAAATTTGGTACTCGCAAGCGAAGTACGGATTGAGACACTGTCTGTACACAGCGAGAAAAGCATAGGTACCGCGCGTTTGCAAATCCGATTCCATTCCGCAAATCCGTCGCATGGTGTTCAAACTGTATCGGAACATGGTGCGACAAAATGGCACGACAATAAAATGAAATGGCTATTCAATGATATTTCAATGTTACGCGAATCAAACCGTTAGCTCTGTCAAATTCGACCGATACATCACCGATTACAAAACCAATTCGTTCCCAGACAGATTTACTTCCAAATCCTTTGGCGAGGTAAATATATAATTTCTCTTTGCCGTACGGTTTGAGAAAACGTTTTAGTAAACACACAAATAATGTAATACGTCCGATCCAATCTCGCTGAAATGCGCGATTACGAAAAGATTTCCTGCTTATAAACCGGATTTCTGTGTAAACAAGCGAGACGTGTTTCTGAGATAAAATGCGCGGATAAATGGAGCGGATGTAGAAAATTGATTCTTGCATTCTTGATTCTGCGGCACCCTCATCACTCTTATCCGGTGCAGTGTCAGTTGCAGCGGCGTGACGAAATATTTTCCGACTTTGTCGGGAGAGTATCGAAAATCGCGATAACCAGTGAATACATCCCATATTCGTGTGTACACGGGCGTAGGGCTATATTTAGATAGTCGTGCGACCGTCGAACAAGCGCGCGCATGCGACACATACTCACTCGAATACACACACACACACACAAGTATACGTCGCACAGCGTGTGCGACGCGTCGTGTGTTTGCATATGTGTACACATCGCGTCCCGCCGGCTACGTGTGTATGTGTGCATGTGTCAACGTTTCCAGAAACACGTTACACTGACCCACGGGACTCGTATCTTTGATACTGGGTCATCCCATGACAAATTGATCGGTGACATTGCGCCGTTAGAGCTTCGGCAGCAAGTCTTCCGTGCGCGAACGAGGAGAGATCCTTTCGAGGGACATGTATGGTATGGCGGATTATTACCGTTAGGCGTGATCCGCTAGGATCTAGGTTGTCCCGAGTAAATTTGACGCGACATTGATACATACATCATTGTGCGAAATGACAAGTCCACGAGAAAACAATATTTGCGACGAAGTTTTGGCGCTGACACAAGTAAAGAAATAATATTGAACGTTTCTGTGTCGAGCTCGAAATATTCACGTTAAAATTGAATTTACACAAACGAAGGATTTTGTAAGTTAATTTTGTGTTTTTTTTTCGCGAACTCAGAAAAAACAAATTTTTGGATTAATATTAAAAATAATATTATTTAGATATTTCTTACTACAAGCTATTTATGAATGTGTAAATCAGAGTAATTTACGCACTAGGTATTTGATTCAGATATTTTTTTTTTTTTTTTTTTTTTTACTGCTTGTCGCAACATTTTTATTTCTGCGCGAAAGTTTTTTGATTTGCATTTCTGTCGTAAATTCGGTGTTCTGCAGTTACCGAGGAAAAAAACTGAATACCGTAAATTGATCGAATAATGCAACGGTAACATCGTGAAAAATTTATTTCGCAGGTGAAATCGCGAGAGAGTTGCGAATTGATTTGGTGCGACGCGCAATGTGCCAAGCGAAACAAATTTAACGGGAGAACATAGTGAAAGAGAGAAGTACGTTTTCGAGCGCTAAAAATTTTCTAACCGAGCGCAACGTGACGTTCGTTCAGACAGCCGCCGCGCTCCGTTTCTCGATTAGTGACTTTATTTAAATTTAAACGCGGCGGTGTGCGCGGTTCGCGCGCGCGCGCGCGCGCGAACGCGCGTGTTTGCCTACGCGCCAGTGATTATCGCGACATTCACCAGTAATTGCTGGGACAACATTGCAATTGATTGTTTTACGCTTCTATCGGCGTGTTCTATTTTATCGGAGCTGGCAGCATAATCTACAAATACGCCCTCGCATGCGCGTGTGTACGTGTATAGTCACTCGTGTTTCGAAACGACGAGGCGGCCTCGAAATTTCCAACACCCTCGCAAATGATAAAAAGCCATTGGACGCGCGATAGGCTCCATCGACGTAACGCGCGTGTGCGATATTTTCATGATATACGTTTACATGTAAAATCACTGGTGGTAAAATCGCCTGGGACGTATCCCATCCAATTCCGACATGACCCAATTCTGTTTCGTAAGCCGGTGGCGTGCCTTGTCATGGAACGTCACGGAATATGATAAATGTTTTCCAAGTAAATGAGTAAATTGCATTCGATATACAGAATTTATTTTAACTTCTTTTGAAAATATTATATGATCAGAGAGAGAGAGAAAGAGGTAGAAAAAGAGACGAAGAAAAAAGAGAGAAAAACAAAACTCTATTCATGTGATACACCAACATGGACAATACACATAAGCACGAATGTCGGTTTGATTAAAAATGCAAGTACATGTATCTCGCACGCGGCTATTGTTTGAGTGTCGTTGAACGTTTCAATGTTTCAAGAAGAAATAACAATATCGTGCGATATCGTGTGTTCATGTCTAAAGACAGAAGAAAGGCTTAACGAGCGTGAAGAAGCGCGCTTTGTAAAGGCCGCTTATATACCCACGGGATTGTTCGAAGCGATGACATCGCTGCGATGTTACGCACCGCGACGCGTCGTCATTCGAACGAGAGGAGGTGGGGAGGGACAACAAGGATGCCCCGAATGCGGGGCACAAGCGCAATTATTATTACGCTCGTTACACTCGTATATTCCATTCATGGCATTCGGGCGGGCGGCGGCAGTTCGACTGCCGCGGGGGTTATTATCCTATTGAGCTTGTAAGAAGCGGCCCGCGCGATGTCGTCGTACGATGCGCGTCGTCTTACGACATCCTCTATCTGCTAACCGACGTCGCGACAAGAAACGCTTAGCTTGTAGAGAACTCTGTGCAGTCTAACGTCCGCGACAGGAAGAACAAAAGAGAGAGAGAGAGAGAGAGAAAGAGAAAGAGCTCAACTTCAAGTATAACGAACGGCTTCGACGATAACACAAGACGATGTCGAGGCGTCGCGTCTGTGCGAAGATCGCTCGACAAGACGTACGAGAACGATACATCGTTCTCAAGAATCTCTCCTCGAGCGATTTTCAGTTCTATCGATCATTTCACTGACGACGAATAAGAACGGCGCACTGAAGGAAACGTAGATAGATGATGGAGGAGCGGCGCGCACGGGCAAGCGCGGAGAAAGAGAGCAGAAACCAGTACCATCTTGGTCCCGTTATTAGAAAACGGACGGTATATAACTGATAGGAATATATAATAAATGACACGATCACAATTAATCGAACGACCGACACGGAACGATGGAGAGATTGTTTGAATTTTCCGCTAATTTTGCCGAACAATAATAATAAAGACCAAGAATTATTCTGATGAACACTAGTAGATTTAAGTGCTATCAGGCAATAGAATCGAAATAGTCAAACACGTTTGAAGGTGATTTTTCTTTGTGATTCTCGGATTTGTGTTCCGTGAAAATAAAATTCTATTATTTAAGAAGATATTCTTAACTTGTTCGTGTTTTTTAGTTAAAGTTAATTCTCTGAATTATTTAATTCTAATTTTCTATAAATAAATACAGCTCTTTTTCTTTTCCGATACGATATCGTCAGTTTAAAGTTCCGCGAAAAACGTTTCGCGCGATAATTGCTAAGACGTATATTTTTATGGCAAAACTATATCGCCGTCGTAAAAAAAAGCTTCTCTTATAATGGCGATTTTACATGTGCTTTTAGCTACAAACACACATGTGTGTGCGCGCGCGCGCGTGTGTGTATATATAATGCACCCTTGCTTCCAATACTAAATTGCCGGCAGCCGGCAATACTTTTATCGTTCCTTTTTACGGCTTCTTGCCCTCTAACTTCGTTTTTGAATCCGATGGGACTATAAAGATAAATTAAAGTGAGGCGACGTAGTAAAGAACTCCAGAACGGCCTATGTGCTTGTTAAAGAACTTTAAGGAAAGGAAGCATCCTAGTTCAAGGCAGTTCGAGGAAACAACGACGAGTTTCTTTATCTCTTTTTTTCTTTGAGTCTCAAGTCTATAGAAAATTGTACGTGCGAACACGTGTGAACACGTGTGAAGAGATGCTTGACGAATTTATTCTTTTTTTAATTCTTTCTTAGATCGCATGTAGACGTTTAAATAGAAACAGACACACGCGTGTGCTAATTCACACGCACAAATTGTACGTCAGAGAGAGAAAACGTTATAATTTAATGATAATGAAAGTAACAAATGAAGTGTCATTGCGCATTGTGTATTACTTGTAGTTTCTTCGCAAAACTTGAACTCTAAGAGATCCTGTGTTTTCATTTATTTCGTAGGAACGTAAGCAGAACGACCGAGCGAAGAACAACGCCGTTAATAATTTTCCTCACGCTACTGATAACAATGGACGCCAAGACAGTGGCGGCCACGAACATGACAAACGCGTCGTCCATCCTGGTGTCGACGCTCAAACCGTTTACAACGACGGAAGTAGTTTATCAGCGATTCGCCATGGAGCCGATGGATCAAACCGCGGTGATTGGCAGTCGAGTGACGCTTCCATGCCGAGTTCTCGACCAGAAAGGGCCCATTCAATGGACGAAGGACGACTTCGGTCTGGGCGCAGTTAGAAATCTCACCGGATACGAGCGATACTCCATGATCGGTAGCGATGAAGAAGGTAAGTATAAGTGGATGAGATTATCCCGGAAATTTGATTTTCACGCTCAAATTAATCCTCTATTAGTCGTGCGCTGCGCGCGCTTCCAGACACTGAAAATTATGCAAAATGCACAGTGATTTGCAATCATCATATGTAGAACTTCCTTCGTGAATTCTACTCATTATAGATTCCCTGGAATTTTTTTTTTTACCTGAAAACTTCAACTAAAGTCAAACTATTCATAAAATTTTTTTCATCCCTCGTTATTTGAAATTCAGAAAATAACTGTTCGTCGCGCGGCGATTGTTCTTTATGTTATTTTTCAATCCGCCATTTTCGGTTCTCGAATCTTGAACCACGAATCTAGAAAGATTTATTATTCTACATCGACAAGAATTGTATTTTTCACTAGTGGAACGTGGATTATTTCTTTCACTAAATCTCTATACCACATTAACATTATACATAAGCTGTGTATAGTGCGCGGCTGTATGTTTACACACGTCTAAATTCAATTTTCTTTGCCGCAAGGTATTGATTTTCTGCCGTGTGTCGAAAAAATGTAGGTACGCACATTCGCTCGGTTTGCCCGTGGTCTTTGAACGTCCGGCGTGAAAAAACATTTTCTGTCGCTTAGAGGTTTACTCGTTTGCAGTTGTAGCAACTTTTACGTGTAACATACGGAGAGAGAAAGCGAAAGAGAATCAGAGAAAGAGAGAAGGTTAAATACACAAGTATAAACTTATTGGACCAATAGCGAGGTATGTAGTGAGGCATAAACAATGTAAACATCGTAACAAAGAAGTGTAAAAACTGTAGAAAATAGTTTTCCCTCTACGATTGTGTTTTCAATCAAATTTAATCAAAAAAACACAGAATTGAGTAATATATTTGTTCAATTTAAATAATTTCAAGTGACACATACAATATTATACTGTGCTAAATTCGCTTAATACATTTAATTTAAAACTATCCGAGAGATTTATTCAATTAAAGCATTTAGATTATTAAAAAGAGTTAATGAAACGCTAAAACATAGGCTTTTGTCTTTATACGTGTATTTTTATCTATATTTTGACAGCTACGTTGTCTCGGAGACGGCTATCAAAAAGATTTATTTTGCACTTTCAACTTCTTTTTGTGCGAGAAAGAGTGACCCACTTTTCAGTTTTGCCGTGATTTCCGCTCTACCCTGCGTAGCACTTCCGAAAGAGCTTTTGTTGGCGCGCTTTAAAACAAAGATGAACCTCACGCTACTCTTGCGTCGACTACGTCGCATAAAGCCGATACAGTTCGCATTAAAAGCTAGTACAAAGTTAAATTAGTTTCCTAACGAGAGTTACTGAAAAAAAAATGCTCGCGTTCTGCACTCGTTATTTCTGCCGGTGTAGAAAAGTATTTACACGTGTAACGTTTCCGTACAGAAAACGGTCTTTGGGACGCACAAGATTCGATTCTACCATCCGTCGTGACGACGTTCCTTGTATATGAAATTTTTTGATATATGAAATTTTTCATATTCTCGCGGTTTAATTTAAAGTGTAATGACGGAGAAGCGACGGGAGGAGGGAGAGGGAGCGGGAAATAAAAAATTTCGTCCAATCAGTAAATTGTGAATCGGCCGAATGAAAAGGTGATGTTCAAATAAAGACCCTCCCGGAACGATTTCATGTCCTGAACTTCAACGGCACGAGAACGCTGATGATGTTGGCGTTGCCATCGCGAATAAACTCGAGAGACGCGAACGCAAATAACAAAGCACACCTGAATAAAATATTCTTACCACGATATCCAACAGTATATATAGCTGTAACAGACAGAGATAAACGGTAAAACGGTTAATGGAAAATGTATTTATAGTGTACGTTTCTCGATGTTGCGGAATTATTTAAATCGAAGAATATATGAAAGAATACATTTTTTAGAGTCGATATAAAACAGTGACATTAGAAAGAACATGTGAATACATATGTAACACGTGCTAAAACTCGTATCGTCGCGAAGCAGTTTATTAAAGAAACAAAAGTGAGAAAACGAGTGAGTAAAAATAAACAAAGAAAACATAGAATAATTTAAAAGAAAAAAGACGCTCGTCGCTATACTGATTCTCTTTTAATGCTACGACCGTCCATATATCGTGATAAAGCGAAATGTATTTTTTTCTTTTTTTCGTATGTTGACGCAGGAGGCGGAGCAGCGAACTGGTTTATTTCATCCGCTGTGTATCTGTTTCAACACATAGATTGTCTTTCGGCGTATCTTTCCGCGCCCGCTGCATTCGTCATTTAATTCCACAAAAATCAGCGCGCGGAAAGCGAAACGATTCAACGTTTATTCAATCAAAATTTGTAACGTGTTTCGCGAAGCTGTCCCGCTCGCGCGCATCGGCATATTGGAACCGAGTGTGTAGATATGTATACGGAACGCGGCGTTTATTTTTTTATTTCTATTCGTTTTTCGGTTATATATATATATATATATATACCGGACCGGAGGATTAGTCGCCGGTTTTGCGAAGATAGAGTGATCCCACGATATCATATCGTTTTCCCTATACCGATATTCCATTTCCCCGCACACATTCTCGCAATATGTTAAAAAATATTACATTGTGTTCGGCAGTATTCCTAACTCGAAAAAAAAGATAAAAAGAAAAAAACAAACGCCAAGTACATAAAAAATATACAAACCATATTAAAAAACTTTTTTTTTATATAAAAAACAAAAAAGAGACAATCAACG